CAAAAGTTTAAAAGCCCATAATTCTAAAACTAATTGTTAGGGCCGGGATTCGATCCTACGATCTTACTTCTCCCTTACTTCTTATTAAAAACCATTAAAAAATTTCTGAGAATACAGAGTACTCACCCCACTGTAAACGGAATGCTATATCACAAGGGCCATTAGCTTACATTCCTTGTTACCGTTGACTCATAAAAATTTATCAAGGCTGACATAATAAACGGCCGGTACAGGTAAAAGAATGAACAACCCTTATGTAAATTTATCTAAGACAAGTGTAATTGAGAAAGTACGGAAATTGTAAATATTTCAAACATTTCTGTTTTATTGTAAATCGTTCTTTCTAGACAAATCACTAAAAAGCACAAATATTTAACTATTGTTATTATATGAACCTTTCAGCTGACAGAATGACTAACTCCAATTTCAACATTTTTGAATAAAGACGTTTTAATGATGTTTTCATTTGGAAAATTTATATATCTGTACAAACAGTGATTAAGTTTATTCAAGAGTAGGTGATTGCAGTGTTAAAATATAAAACTGTGAATAAAGGTTTAAATTTTCTTAATAGAAATATCACAAAAAAATATATAAAAAAATGTTAAAATTTGAGTTAGTCATTCTGTCAACTGAAACGCCCATATACATGGGCGGATCTACGGGGGGGGGAGGGGCTTTCGGGCTAAAGCCCCCCCCCCCAAAATGGTAAAATATAACCACGTTTTATCGAAAACATATTTAAAAAGTATCTCTTAAAGTATTGTTGTTCGTGTAATTACATTTAAAAGGGCTTCAGGAATCCCTTAAACACCATTTCATATAGGTAGTTAATTTCTTTCTTTTTTTCCAAAGTAATTATCGTTATTTTTATGAAAAAAAAAACTTTCGGGCTGAAGCCCCCCCCCCAAAAAAAATAAATCCTGGATCCGCAAGTGCCCATATATAACTACTTATTTTTAACTCCAGTAATATGATTTAATTAGGAAAAATCCTAATCTAAGGAATCTCAGGTTTAACATTTCATGGCTGTTTTGAAATATTTAGTTATGGTATGTATTACCTTGTTTAGTTATTTTGATGGTTCGAAATATCTGTAATTATAAGTATTATTTGAATGATTTCAGTTATCAATGAATTTTATTTTCTGAAATGAAATTAATAATAGTTTTTAGAAAATATAAAATATATATTTAAAGAAATGAAATGTAGATTGATACATTAACATTATCTTATGGATGAATTAGAGGATATTAAGTTAGTAAAGTTATTTAAAAAACTATATGTTGAACAAATGATGTTCAAATACAAAATTAGATAGAGAAGAGATAATTTATTCCGTTCTTAGAGGTCTGATCCGAGTCATAATGATATTTTTCATATAATAGTTATAGAAATTGAATTAGCTGATTAGCTACAAATGAAAATGGTTGGGTTCAGTGTTGCCATTGATGCTAGAAATATCAGATTTCTACAAAATTGCGTTCGTGTCAGAAATTATATTTTTATAAATAAAGTCTAGATTTGTTTAGCAACTATTTTAACTATGATATTATTTATGTTCTCTTCACTTCTGGGCAGTAGGTTCAATTTAATAAACAATTCTTCTAAATTTAACTTGCACTTTTAATTAACTTGCTATCCTTAATTATTTTTAGTTAAGCTTCTTAAAATTATTAAAAACAACACTAGACATTTAGAGTGGCTGTTTATTAAACTGGATCTATAGGCAAGAAGTGAGAAGAAAATAATTAATGAAGAAAGGTCAAGAGGCTTTAAACGTAAAATATTATATTTATACTTATACATTATATTTAACTCATTTTGCTATATAGAAGAATAAATTGTAATTATGTCTAGTTTTGATTTAACTATGATCTAAAACATTGCTTCATAAAACTATGATTATAGATTTAAGTAAGGAACATTAAAATTTTAATTTTAACTTAATTATCTTTTATTTACTAATTTAGATTTAATTAAGCGAAATGTCACCTAGTTTCGAACATCGATCTATTCCTAGTATTTTACTTTTGAGTTTTAATATTTATTGGTATATTGAATTCTTTAAATATTTCACCTTATTTAATATTTACAGGAAGCTTTCCAATAATTTCTAAAAAATATGTACTTTTTTACATTTTTTTGTTAAACTTTTTTAGTTTAGTGTCTTATCTAAAACGATTTTTTCTGCTTGAAAAACAAATGAAACAAATCTTATAAAAATGAAAAAGTTTTAAAATATATTACTTGGACTAATATTCTATGCTCTGGTCAATTTTACTAAAATAACATTGAGCATAAAATAGTATTTGTATGACTTTTCAAGGAACGTTGGGTCGTGGGTACTTGGAATAAGACAATGAAATTTGTTATTGATAAGCGTCAACACTGGTTGGACTAAAGCTGAAGAAAAAAAAATAACAGAAGGAGGGTTTATATCTACTAATTATAACTTAATAAAATGTTGTATGAAAAACCTTTTAAAAGCTAAAATTTTCAATTCCTTTATAACTTAAAACAATGTTTCCTAGCTAAACTTTTATTTAAAATTCCCTACGATTTAGATTCAAAAGATTTTTAATTTAGAAAAAATCTCCTCCATGGAATACACGTTTATATGTCTCTATAATGGAGATGTTGGCAAAATTGTTATAAATTGTAGTTTTATAACCATTGATTTCTATCATATTCCTGGGTTTAATTTATGATTTTAGAAACGCATTCGACGCAGTATTTAATGTTCTTTAATTCTTTGGATGAAATAAAAAAAGATGTATAAATAAATAACTGACAAAATTCTAAAAGTTTTGCGGTTTCTTTACGCTATAATCTCGTGTCGGGCAATCAATGTAAAACTAGCATACTCGTTTTTTGCGTAAACAAAAAAATGATTTCACTCTTTTTTTTTTTTTTTTTTTTTTTTGGTTATTATACTTCTATTATTATACTGTCCCCTCTCCCTATGGGTCTAATGGAAGCAAACTAACATTAATTATTTGAAATATTTTTATAACCTTCTTTCCAAAAATATAATTGTTTTTTGCTTTGAAAAAATATATATAAGATTAACTATTGTAATAAAATATTATGAACAAGATGGAGTAGGGGCGCAGTCTAGGCCTGAAGTTATTTTTATCATTGCCCGCCATCTGTTCTGGTCTATTGTATACAGCAATCCTATATTTAACAGGCGCTGTATTAAATAGCGGTTTAAATGATTATTTATGAACAACACTCCAAGAAAATTATAACAGCAGTTGCTTGAAAAGAATATAACAACTGCAATTTAGCTATAGTTTTGAATGGCCATTGACTGCTGCTAAATACCGTTCGATCGTAAAGTTGTTTACTACCGTGGAGTTGTATATTTGAAATTTATACAGTTATCTTTGAGAGAGTTTATCTATCCTCTATCTTCTAAATATTATACATAATTTAATAATTGTTTCTCCTTCAGAAGAACCAAATTTATTTTCTATTTTTGATTAACATATGTAAGGAAACCATTTTCACTTTTTGATTTGTAAGTATGTCACCATCTTAGTTTCACCATAAAAATGTCTTACAATTAGTATGAAACGTCTATTTGTAAACATAAAAAATAAAAATTTATACAAAAATTGTATAATTAACAATTAAGTATAATTATTTTCCAGTATTAACATTTAAAAAGTCTTAGCTGCAGTACTTGCCTAAAGCCCGCCTCTCCACAATGCTACAAACGTTTTGTCAAACAATGAATAAAACGTTTGTCAAATGGCTTCATCACATGTGAACAAAAATACGGCATTGGTAGTTCGTAGTTAAATGATTCACATTGGTTGAACTGCGGAAAAAACTACTTTTATTTTATAAATATTAGAAAAATAGTTTTCTTTTCGTCAATGATAAATAGATTAGTTACCAAAAATATTTCACTGATTAAATCCGTAAAATATTGACTTTTAACGTTGTACAAGCCTTCAAAATCCAATCATGGAATAATATTTGAATTATTACGAAAACTATTCGACATTATTATTATTATTATTGTCACTCACATTTTATATGTTTGGCTCGATTTCTCTTTGTATTCATAAACATATATTCCAAACGGTCCACTGCGTGATAAAAGAAATTACCTATATTACTTGTATTTTCAAGTCCACAATACTATTTTGAAAAAAAATAAATAAATGGATCTTTTTATCGCGAGTGACTGGAGGTCTAACATCTATTTGGCTATTAAAACAGATTCCAGCTGCATCGACCTGCGTAAATTAAACTTGTAAATTGAATTAAACTTATGAGGGTATTTTTGAGCCAGCGTCTATTTGAAATGAAAAGGTTATTGACGTTAAAATAAATAAGTATATAGTTTTAAGTATATTGTTATGTAATTTATAAATTAATGTAACTTTTTGTTATGCTTTAAATTAGTCAATGAGACGTAAAAATATCAATTAATTGTTTTAAAAAGTATTTAGTTAGATTTATTTATTAAATAAAACCATAAATAAAATAAAGCATTAAAAACCAAAATTCTATCGTATTTTTATTATTTAGTGAAACATTCAGTATTAAATTCAAAAGCAAACGAATCTCAATGGAACTACTAGGAAATATGATATGAAATATGGAAATTTAAATATATATGTCAAATAAACATTAAATTAAAAACCATTTCTTCAGATTTATTTCTTTCGGATTAAAAATAAGGAACTCCATCGTATTATTATCGTATATTATATAAGTTAGTACATATAATTAGTTCGAATTTTAAAAATAATTAGTTGTTAAAAATTAATTTCATGGAATGAGTTTTTGTTAGCACGGAATAAACTCTCAACCTTCCATCTCTTCGCAAAATCATGAATTTGCTTTTATTTATTTTATAAAATTGAATTTTATGAATTTTAAACAATAGACATCTCATAGATTCACTTTCTACTTCAACTGTAAACACTTTTTTAAAGCACAATATTTTTCTGCTTATCAGCCCTATTCAGAATCCAGACATGACCGGTTAAAATGAAATACATAGTTGGTGCAGGTTACAAGAATGTGCTAAGCTGGTATGCCACAAGAGGCACATAAGAGATCAATGTTATTACCATGTTTAAAAAGCTTGGTTCTGAAGCCCACATGCCTTGTGAGGATCTATGAGACCCTGTAGTCCGCATGTCTTTCATCGTAGGATCCATGTCTTTTCTAGGCGTGATCCGACACTGGGAAAGAACTTTCTCAGTTTGGACCATTTGGGGTTGTAACACATCGCTGGTTTCATTCTTCCAATGTATCCACCCGGAGGATCATCTTCCATATTCTAGAGCTTTCAGAAATCCTCTCTCGAATATTCGCTGGTAAATCTGCCAAGCCATCTCTCTTACTGTTGTGCCGAAGAAGGCAGTTCTCTCAGAGGAGGTCGAAAGGAATGTCATCTCCTAAGATTCGCACCTTTTAATCCCTACCCTACAATTTTGAGGTTTTAGCTATAAAAATAGAGATAATATAATAATAATTGATTATATTTAACCCGTCCTCCCAGCATCTCTGGATTTTCTCGGAGACTGTTGTTTTGAAATTTCGCACCAAAGTCACATTCCATTCCAGAAAGATCCTCGAATTCAACATTACTGTCCATCTTAGCAATGTCTTCACATTGCTGTTGTTCAATAACCATTTCAATTTATATCGAAGCTTCTTGTTTTTTAACAGCATATGTATTTGGTAATAATCTACCTAGATTAAATTTAGTTTTAACTGGATCTATAACAAATGTATGTTATCACAGTTCATCATGATTTTGAGATGCAGGATCATCCCCTTACAAAAAAACAAGAATATTTTCTCATACTTCTGTTCAGAACAGTGAATCTTCTTTATTCCGAACCTCTGGATGTTTCACAAATAAATTAATACAGTTGTTTTTACCCAGGCCAACCCAAGAAATCCTACCTTTTTTCGTTTCTATCTTTACATGGTGAAAACAAACAAAATACATTCACATTTTGTTTAACACTAAAGTCCTCCATTAAATATTTGCTTTAAACTATAAAATATCATCATAATTTATTAATAAATATTTGATTATTCATTCATTTTAATTAATATAAGTGTTAGAAGTACTGAAAATGTTAATTATACAGAATTATGTTATACAGAATGTAACGAAATAGGGTCATTTTGATTTTTTTTTAAATGTATCTTAGAGTCCACTTTGACCTGGCGAAACCAGTCTCCTCTTAAACTTCAACTTTTTATGGTATTTGTACTAAACATTTTATTATATCAAATATTATTATTCAATTAACAGTTATCGTGCCATATCAAACTTAAATTTTTTGTTTATAATTATATAATTTCTTATAAATGATTGTTCCCATGACTGAATATCCTTTATTATGACATTACATGTTCATCAATAAAGTATATAAAAGAAAATTAAACTAAGAATTTGTTTTACTCAGTTCGGTTGTTATTTAAAAAAAAATTGTATGTGCTTTGTCTGGCATTGTAAGCTCTTAAGCTTAGTCTGTTAGTGGTAAATCTGGCTTTATCAATGATGAAAATTTTGAACTATAAAATTTTCAATTAAATTTTAACATCTATTTTTACTATTGTTTATATCTGATTTATTTGCTTTATTCAAGTCTGCTTGTAACCATTAATTTGATTTGATCTTTCAACTAGCATAACTAATTTAAAAAATATTAAATACAATCAATATTAAATTGAATTAAATTAATATAAAAATGTCAAATAAAATTAAACAAACATTTGTTGTAATCTACCTATATTTTATTCTTAAGGAATAATTTTAGTTGCAATAATAGTAAAATAAAAAGTAAACATTTAGAGTTGACGAATCTAGGAGAAAAAGTATATACTTTTATAGAGAAATATACGACTGACCTAGGAACCCTGATATTAAAGGTACAAGAGAACTTTCGTTGTTTAAGAATGTACCCACCCAGATAAGAAATTAGAAAATCAAAACTATCCTCTTCTATGGAATTAAAAATTTACTTGGATCAACTTATTAAATCCTTATCATTGGCTAAATACGTCTACAATTTTAATGTATTCTCTATAAAAATTTCCTTTCAGTCAATATCTAAAGACAAATCTACTATACTCTGATTCTTTTGTTTTCTGTGGGGAATGGATGCCTTGATCAAATCAAATTAATAGACACTTGTTTCTCATTTCGAACAAAGCTGATTGAATACTTGGAAACTTAAAAACAATAACGAACAGATTCAATTGCTTTCATCTATATATCGATAACTGATTGTTTATCTGGTTAACAGCCCAATAACAATAGATATTTGGCACTTATGTGTATTTTTTTGTTCCTGACATGAAAACAGCTACCAAATGGTACTATAGTTTGGAAATAAGTAAAAGCTATAAATGATGAATGGAGGAGTTAAAATTTGTATTTTTTTGGTTCGCTCCAAAACTTCATTGTTGAAAATAACCAAAACATATGTACTGGGTCCGATAGACTATATCTTTGCTAGCAATGGTCCATAATAATTAATAAGGTTTTGGAAAATAAACTTTTCACATCATGTATGATTTATCTTTAGAGGACGGGATGGTCGAGCATATTGAGGCACTGGTTCCAGAGTGCCTAGTACTGAACATTATGGGTTCGATTCCAACCTGGATTGGTTAATTTTCATTTCTTGGTGGCCCCGGGAAATGAAATTTGACATTCTTAGTCTGTTAAGTAAGCAGCAGCAACCTTAAGGTAGCCGTCAGAGGTTGGCAAAAAGAATCACAATAAGGCTCATTTGCCGGACTAGTTCTTTCTCCTTCCCCTCCCCACCAAGTACCAGTACTAGTACCATTTCTTTTCATATTTATTATTATATTTGTATTTATTATTTTCATTTTCTTTTACGAATAATTACATATATAAAACAGTTGATAGAGATTTGATCTTTTTTTTTAAATTATTATCTGCAAATTTCATTGTCAGAACAAGAAAGAGTAATTACCTAACAATATAAGCTCTGGCCAATCCTTGGTATCACAGGGAATACTAACTATAAGTAGAGATGAGAAAAAAATACTCTGACAATGAGTATTATTTTCAAAAGTAAGTATAAGAATGGAGATGCTCATTATTTAAGTATAATACTCTATATTCATTCCTCAGAATAGTCACTACTCTTCTCAAACTATAAGTTAATATTTTTCAAGCTTATTATTTACTGCTTGTTTACTAAATTATAATATAATGTCTGAGACTGTTTTATTGAGTATTATAACATTTGACCACAATAAAGGACAATAGGTATAATGCTTAAAAGAGTAAATTCTTGCCATATAATATAATGTATATGTTTCAGATGTATATAGTGACTCAATAAGCTATGATGCTGGTGGTGGTGACAACGATTCCAGTTCGACACTGGAGGCTGCCAGTGATGTTACTGTGCCATCAAGACCTCAACTTAGGTTAGATTTGATAGGTCCTCCAAGCAATCACCAGACACGAAAATCACCATTGGTATGTCACTTAATCTTCTGTTTTGTATTTTATATATATCGACTACTTCATGAGAGCCGACAACTCAGAAATATTTTCTTTTTCTTTTTTAGTTGCTTCAAAATAACTACTTAAAAATCAAGAAAATAAAATCATTTCAGAGTTTTCATTCACATGACAATGTCATCTAAAAACAATATTTGCTATACCTTCACTTTTTTTATTAGTTTACCTTCACAAACAATTTAATTATATTGTAAATAAACATCTATAATGTGCTGGACACTGGCAGATACGTGAGGGGGCTTTTGGGCTGAAGGTCTCTAAAATAAAAAATGTTTTAACATTATTCCACATTTGTTTCTGTGAGTGATCTGGCTAAATATTTAATCAAATTATGTATTTCACGTACTAAATGTAAGCATGTCATGAAAAAAATCGCTTGGTAGACATTCACCACATTAACCTTCGCCATCCAATTCTTACGGATACAGAAGCCTCCATCCTATCCTTAACAAACTCATTCCTTATTCTATCCATCCTTGTCTCACGTAGGCATCTCATTACCGTAACATCCGGCTTTCTGTTCCTTCTCTTCTGTGCAATAAACTGGGGTTGGCTCTTCACAAGATCTTTGACTCCTTCCAACTCCTTGACTCCTTCCTACTCCTTCCAAGCTCTGTCACTAATCGGTGAGAGAACATTTTCCTTTCTAGGTTCGCAAAATTTTTTTAAAACAGTCCAGGATTCTCTGACCCTGTAGTATCCTAGTATTTTATCAATGCCCTGACAGCACCAATCCCACGAGGCATTCTCCTCACTCTCCACAAGGCTCTTTACCTCCTTATTAAGTTTTATATAGACAACCCTAATCCTCATAAGTTTTCAAGGAAATTCTTTTCTCGTAAATATCAATTTAAAAAAAATATATATTTCTTTAATTTGAAAAGCTGAGTGATATATTGTAGAAACTTTTTAAGATCTTGAAGTATTTTAAGGCTTCATAGGCATTTAGACATTCCCTATTGGATCTCGCACCTTCCAATGTTTTTCATTAATGTTTATATAATTTAATAAAGATACATTTTCTGTTAATAAATGAAATATGATTTTTTTATTTAATTGAATTCTGATAGGGTGGAGTATTATTTTTCATATTTTTAATATATATGTACAAGGTTATTTTAGTTGTACTAAAATATTGAATTTGTTTTATTTTTCCTATCATTTTACAGAGTGGAGGCGAGACCTACAGTTCACCACTGAGCGGTGAGCCGCTAAAGAGTGGTGGAGAAAGTAGCCTGCCTTCCGCTGGAACACCACTTGGAGCCCACCATGAGCTGCAACTTCTTAGGGAGCAGCTGGAGCAACAAACCCAGCAAACCCAAGCTGCAGTTGCTCAAGTTCATCTCCTCAGAGACCAACTTGCTGCTGAAACTGCTGCTCGGCTCGAAGCTCAGGTAGGTTAAATTATTTTGGAAAAATAAAGTTTTGATCAATAAGAATATAAAACAATTCTTGAAGCTGAAACAATCAAGAAAATTTAAATATATCCACAAAACATATTCGTTGTTATTTAATAAATTCTTTCTATTATCCAAAGTGGTTAAGAGATCTAAGGGCTGTTCTTTTTCGTCTTGGGTTTCAAGAAATTTTTAATTTACCACAGACTGTAATAAATAGCGATATTTTCATTTAAAAACCTAAATGATATATGATAAGTATCCCATGAAAACGATAGCATCTAGGAGGTTAGATTTATGGTGGGTTCATCTTATCTTGAAAACTGTAAACTTTATGGCTCTAAAACGCAAGATCCAGTTCATTCCATGGGTACTTGCCTTTATGGCTGCCACAAAATCTTTAAAACCCAACTGGTATTTGTCTCCCAACTTATTACAGTCAGAGTATTTATATCACCTACATTGTTCAATCGCTTTTATTTAAGATGAAGTAGGAATTTTAGAATTGAAATTGGAATTTTACCATAAAATTCTCTTTGTTTTGAAATGTTATTTGGTAAAATCCATTGCTCCTCAGGGACATTAAAGTGGGATTCTTATTGATTAGATCTGGAACAGTATTTTCCAACCTCGAGAACATATTTGATATTTGAGTCTCTAGCTAGAGATATTTTTATTTTGGATAATTTAATGAGGATATCAATCCATAATATACGGGTATAAGTTACCTGATCAGGTTATAATGTATATATATTTGAATTATTTGAGTTTAATATTGTAATATTTCTATAACTGTAAATTTGCTTTTATATATTCCTCTTGAATTTTCAAATAAAAATCTTTTTGCTCGTCTTCATCTTTCTGAAATATTAAATGTAAACACATGTTGAAGTTTCAAGACCAGAATTTAATTTAAAATTTAAAATTGATATATAAATTATATATATATATATATATATATATATATATATATATATATATATATATATATATATATATATATATATATATATATATATTAATACTGCCCATCAATTATTTTAATATGACCAGACATTTTTCTTCAATATTTATATGATTTGTCACCCAGTATCTTATAATCGCCATGAGACTTTTCAGAAAAATTCTGCATTATTATTTTGATCTCATAAATCACTGTAAAATAAATATAGCCATAGATATATAAATAAGGAAAAGACCAGGTCCCTTCAGAATAACAAATATGTAAAAATAATAATAATAAAAAGCTAATTTGGCAAAAAGATTAATTAATAATCATCAATCAGAACATATATTCATTATCCTCAATATATATACTAAAACACATTGCTTACTATTAATTAAAAATTTTATTCTTAGATAAAATATCAAGATTAAAGGCATCTGTTTGGAATGTTAGGAGATGTTAGAAAAAGAGAGATTTGACAAACCCTTGTTTCCTTGGAGTCGACTACTAGGAAACTGTATGGGATGTACCGCTAGTTGATAATTTAGTGTGGGTAAAATTCGAAGAAATATTGCCTGTAAGGAGGGAAAAGAGCCGCCGCTTTAACTTTCCATAAATGTAACGCATAAGACTGCTTCAGGTTTGAGTGAAGACATATCTTCTAAAACCAATATATATGTTTTCTACTATGTATTTTGACAATATAAAGTATAGTGGCTGGTCCTATTAATACTTTTGATTAGAAATTTGGAGAAAATATGTCCATCTTATGTATAGGAGGATGTGTTTTCAATTCTTTATTAAAATTTATAATCATAATACTAATGAACTAATTTACTTTCTAGGCTAGGATACACCAGCTGTTGGTCCATAATAAAGAGCTCCTTGATCACATATCTTCCTTGGTGCAGCACCTTCAAGAACAGGAGAGGCTACAAGGAAATGCCCCTGTCACACCGTTGCCCCAGGTAAGAGATGGATAATTTAGATGCTGTAAATATACTTTGCATGCAGCATGTTGCTTTATTACTAATTTTACTCAGATAATATGCTTTTATTTGGTTTTTCAAAATGCTACTCACAATTATTGAATAATTTTTATGTTTACCCATTCATGCTCAATTAAAATATTTTATATTATATTTTTGTATACTTATAATATAAGTTATATTCAGTAAATAAAGTTTACTTCCATTTCATTTATTTTTGTTGTAAATATTTTTATTTTTTAATACAGTTTTATTTCCAACAAAATGCACTTTTTTACTTCATAAAAAATGACTTTTGTTATTGACTTGTTTTTGTTTGTTGATCTTTATTTATTTTTGTTTCCATAACAAATTACCTGTTTTTGTTTTGTGTTTTGATTATAAATATTCATTTGCTAAATTTACAGGCTTTTGCTGTTTCACAGGTCTTAACCGAGGATAAAAAGAATAATGCTAATAATAATTATAATGCCAATGAGGCATTAATAGATTTATTTGGGAATGGATAATCTGCTTCTTGCCATTTATTATAATGGTAATTATTACTACTAATATGAATGATTTTTTTTTTATTAATGGATTTAACTATGTAATACTTATTAATTTTTTATTTAATGTTTATTACTAAGGGCTAGTTGTACAATTGAAGTTAAATTTTACAACTGGCCCTTAGTCTTGCATTTATTAGATTTAATTTTATCAGTTATTTTAATCATTTTTAAGGAAATATATGTCACAAAAAAAGTTTAAAATTATTTGTACCAGTGTACCAAATATTAGCCATTATTTAGGTTTGCTATTTTTTAAAGTATTTTAGTTATTTAGATGGTAATAATGAAATTTATTAAAGATTTTCTCAGTATATGTTATTTTTTGGTGCCATGATATTTTTTATCAGTTAAATAAATTTTAGACAAAAAAATCATCAATTTTACTAATTATCAATTTCGTTTTTAATTTGTCTCACCTTTTGGCTATCTAGAGCCATTTTCAAGGCATAAAAGTCCATTTACTCTCAATACATTAATTTCCAATTTTAACATATGTATCATTCAATCACTTATCTGTATATATATAATTTTACTATCACTTACAATATTTATTTTTAATTATAATTACCTTTTATCTAAAAATCATAAGCTAAAAATATTGACTGTTTTCTTTCTCTAGTAAAAATTATTGATTAAAATATAATTAATCTTGAATATACCATAAAATAAAACTTTTAAAATTATATGTAGGTATATTTACTGCAATTACCAGGTTGTTATGTCATTCACACCTGATTTACTTGGCTATTAACTAGTAATTGTTATATTAAAAATCTTTAAAAATGAATGAAGTATTAGTGACTATTGACTTAAAATTTACTTAAATAATAAGAAATTAAAAGATTATTAATTATAAGGAAATTGTCAGGATTTACAGTCAAAATTTCTTTAACTGACATTTCAACCCAAATATGTGGGCCATCGTCAGGGTTATGGTTTGGAAGTCTTACAAGAACTAAGAGTCAATAGATTATTTGTTCAACTTACAAACCATTGCCCTGATGATGACCCACATGGTTGGATCAAAACTAACTCAGCTAACTCATTAAAGAAATTTTGATTGCTAATCCCAACAATTTTTTTCATTCTTATAATTTCAACAGTCAACTACTTACCCATCTTTAAATTATTAATTATAATTCACCAATTGGTTTGAACATATCTCAGTTAATAAAAATAAAAATTGAGAACATTAAATATGATTTTAACCTGAGATTTGAATTATAATCAACTAAAATTTTGCTCATTAAACTAAAATTTTTTGCAACTTATTAATTCTTTTTTTTTTAAACCATGAAAAGCAGAAATATTCAAAATGACTTCTGGTATGTTCAAATTAATATGGGAATATTGACCATTTTAAATTTAGTTTTGAAGTATCAGAAACATAAAATCATTGAGTAATTAAATATATTACTCAAAATTGTTTACATATTTCAAAAATAAGATTACTTTTTTTCATTTAGTGAGAGATTGTGTCTATTTAGTACTATTTACTACTGCTCATCCAGTTTATTTCCAGGGTATTTATTGCCACTCTGAATTTTTCAATATCATAATCTCTTATAAACCAAATTTGAGAATAAATAGGTATTTTCATACATATAGAATCGAAAGTAAAAATCATATACCGTACAACATATTATTTAAAACAATTAATTACAATATGTTTTTCCCACCATTGTCTGTTAAATTTATACATTTTTTGGCACTCATCAATTTCTTCTTCTTCTTCAAAGGAATGATTGACGCACTAGGCGGTCCTTGCCCTACTCCAACGCTCACAATTTTATTCTACTATTGTATATTCTATTTAATTATTGATAAAAGATTTATTATATTTATTTATATTTTGCTGTGGGTGTTTTTATCTGTTAAAACACTGGTTTATACCTTCTATAAATTTTAATTCTTATACTGCTGTAATCTATACAATTAAATATAAAATAATGCCGGCATTAATATTTATGAATTTATATGTATATGCTCATGTATATGTATGTAGTACTATCAGAAACACACGTATTGCTGTGATACATCATATTAAGCACATGTAAGGTATGGAAGTATATCCTAACCCTTCAGCTCGGATACAAGTTTGGGTGTCTTTGGTTTCATTACTATCCCTTATTTCTCCCTTAGTTAACTATCAATTACTTTTATAGATTATATATAACCATTTTTTATTTTGGGTTTCAATATGAAATGGTTAATCACTTGAAATAAACAAATCAATTTTAATAAGAATAACAGCTAACGAGTATTAAAGACAACTTAATTTGACACTGTTATTATAATAATATAATATAATGATATTTATGATATAATATATCAAACTTGGAATTGCTTTTGAAAAAATTTAAAACGTGTAATATCAATGATGAAAAGTCCTACTTCCATTTAGTTGATTTTTATGAAAACGATGCTGTAACATCCCAGCCATATATTTATCATAAATACTATGGACATTCTTAAAGAGGTCTTACTGTGTAGGGTACCCCATATTAGTATTTATCATTAACATATAAATTTCTCCCTATTTTACTAATTTTTTTTAATCAATCCAACTACTTTTTAATCCAGGTTTCTTCTGATTTTTTTCCAAAATCCTTGGCAATTCCAGACACCAATCACTACACTTCAGTGCTGATAATTCAGGATATTTTTATACTTATTATAACCTAATGTATTTCTCATTAGCATCTGATTCAAATGGAAAAGCCTCTTTATTTTATTTTGAGGTGTTAGTCTGTGGGTGTGGTCAATACATAATATATTGGTTACCAGATAATTTAATTTAATTTCTTTATCTGATAACCTGTACTTATTTAATATCTACTGATATATCATTTCATTTTTTTTATCTTGTACCAAATAATATTTATAGTTTGTATCTTTTGTATCCCTGATGAAGACCTACGATGTAAGTCGAAACATCGGCAAATCCAATAAAATACTATTATAATACATAGTATTATATATTAACCACAATCCTCGACCAACTCCTTCTCAAATTATAATTGCTGTCAATCATCTCCAGATCTCTTTATTTTAGTTTTTCATTGTCTTTATTAGTTATGCACGTATTAATAGCAAGACATAAAATATTTTATATGACAGCTATTAATATCCTGGAAATAATTCTGGCTGTATTAATTTATTATTATTATTTTGTAATATTTATGAAAAGTTTATGCTTCAGCACCTTGGATGCGAGGCACCGGGTGTAAATCCTATGTTCCTGCCAGATCTTGGTGGTTCTGGATATCTGCATCCTGCTTTGAGTGGTTCTTACTACAACCTTGGAGGAGGTTATGACTATCTTCAACGCCTTCGTTCATTCTACAGCCCTCCTCCCGTCTACCAGCAAAGGTCTGGTGCCTCTTCTTTTCCAACAACTCCAGTTCTCAGTCACCGCTCTTCCCAAGCTGAAATCCCTGAAGACCAATTCATTCTTCCCTTATCCCCGGAAGGAAAGAAAGATATGGGTCTAGGAGCTCTCCATATTTCTCCTCAGCAAGAAAAAAGATTGCCGTCCAATGGACCATTCATTCAGAGATCAACGAGTGAGAAAGTGCCAAATAGAAGTGAACTCATGTCTCAAGTTCAAAGGACGGCTTGGGCAAGGCATACAACAAAATGATGCCTTCCTTTGATTGATGACTATTCTTGTTTAAACCATTTATATTACCATTTGATGATATTAATTTAATAATAAAAATAAGATTATTTTAAATATGTTTTACAATTTTATTTTTAAAATAAACTGTTTACATTACAGTAAGATACAATGTAACTTACAGTGGGGTTAATATATTGATAACACTCAAATATAACCTAAAGGTACCTAACTTAAAAAATATACTAGAAATTAAATCCAAGCGATTAGATTTATTTGAATAAAATAATTATTAGAAATGAGCTGCATTAACAAAGCAGTATTAAATTGTGTCTTCAATACTCAAAAAGTTCTAATTATGCATGGCGGTATTTTTAAATTTTTAAAATAAATTAGATTATCGTATATAAATAATTTTTTGAAATTTGTCAAATATTTTTCTAATAAAATTGTCTATTCTCAATTATGTATCATTATTGAAGGTACCATTATAATGTTCATTATCTTTAAATTTTTCTACAATAATAGAATAAACTGAATAATGATATTTATACCAAATTTTAAATATGTTATCACCTCTCTTTTATAATTATTCTTAAGTACTGGTTTAAAAAAGCTTAGTCATCAATTAGAACCGCCTTACTAAAAGTATTCCTAGTATTGTTTATTTTTATGTAAATATAATTATAGTTATTTGTTGATTTTTATTTGTATATGAACAAAATATGTATATTGAGAAAATAGTTATTAAGTGGGACTTACCTAATGATTCATGAACTATTTTAGTTTGGATCGTAGATAGTTTTTGTATTATGTGTTTATGTGACTGAAACAACTGACTTTGTGCAGTTTTCTTTTTTTAATTGTAATGTTTTTACAAGTATTGCATTTGTTGTGTACCCTGATACACAAATATTTTTATGATTGCATCATTATTTATATAAATAAGATATTGTAGATACAAAGTTCCTAAAGTTTTGTTATATTTTTGTTTTATATTATGAAGTGACAAAAATTCTCAATGGTAGTACATTTTACTCAACAAGACACAAATGCACTAATTACAATATTATAGAGCAGAATAAAAGACAATACAATAATTGTTATTTATTACAATTTTATCTTGTTGAAAATTAACTGCTTTCTTTAAATAACATCGTTTATCTCTGATATTACTCAAAATAGATCATTGTTGTACTTAGTTTCATAGCACATGTTTAGGGAATGTATCAATTTTTAATCATATAGCAACGTTAACATATCTATTGTTCAAACTTTGTTTAGCTATACTATAAAATATAATTTATAAATGTATCCTAATCATACATGAATGTAATCATAGCAAGTCCATAGTATGATGATCACAATATTTTATATTGCATTAATAGGCAATATATGTAGAAATACATATCACAACTTACTGAAAAAATATTATGGCTAATTCTGTTATGTGTTATTGATTGATGATTCAAGAAAGAGGTTTTGGATTGTGCATTTGTCAAAGGAGTCATTATTATAGTTTGATACAAACAAAAGTTGAAGTGAGAGATGTCAGGGTTGCTATGGCAGCAATAAATGTATTTTTGTATAGGATGTTTACTTTGATTTCCTACTTTGATTTCCTAACCAGTAATGAATAACATACTCTTGCTTTACCCAATGAAGGCTGTTCATTAGATTTAGATGAATACCCCTTTGTTTATCAATGTTAAATTTTATTTGTTAGTTATTAAATCCAGATATTAAGATAAACACTTTAACTTTCACAAATAATCTCATTTCTTTAGGTAATACAGTAGAATCATGGTAATTTGTATCCAAAAATTATACACTTCGGCCAACTGAGATTCTTTCAAACCCTTGGGTCCTATAAAAGAAATGAATTGGTCAATATTATAGAATTAAGATGATCAGGGTCAGCAGGATCTCTTAAAGGTTCTTTGCTAAAGAATTCCTGTTCATGGTTTAAAACCTCCAAATGATGAAACTTGCAATCCCCTCAAAAAAAAAAAAAAAAAAAAAAAAAAAAAAAAAAAAAAAAAAAAAAAAAAAAAAAAAAAAAAAAATTGTTATCTCCTATGCTTAGCTGTTGAAAGTTTACTTACTAAGGCGAATGAGAATTTTCTGAAAATCCATGGCCAAAACAATTGCATCTATCAAAATAGAACTACAGTGTCTAAGGGTGCTTAACATCACATTTACTTTATACATAAGCTTGTCCTATTTACCAGCCTTTCCAAGAATTTATATAATATATTTTTCAAGAATTTTCACCATAAATGTTTTAAAACTTCTCTGAATATGTTTATTACATTGATATCTGATTTATTGCTTGAAATTGATAAAGGATTATTATGATTCTACTCTATTAAAAAATAAAAAATATGATATGGATCCTTTTAATGCTAATACAATTGATTTATGAACCATTATTAATCCAGGAATTGATTTGTATGGAGACAATCCCCCTGCTTAAGGCAATAGTAATTAAAGGAGCAAATTTCAAATTAATTTGTAAATTAGAAAGAAATAATAATATTTTTTCTTTAAGAAGTTTACATGTTAATTAACAGAAGTAACTTTTCATAAAAAATTATTCTCATTTTTTAAAATTTATTCACTACCTAAAATTGTATCTTAATAACTATTAAAATAACCTTAATCAGTTAAAGATATTTGGTTATTTTCTATTACTTTATTTTTAATTAAACATTTTTATCATATCATAGACTTAATAATTTAATTTATGTTATATAAAACTGTTTTAATTAAAAATGTCTTGTATCTATGTATTACAATATTGTTAATATATATTTTATTTAACTCAAAAAATAAATAAATAATAAAATAAGCTTACAAAAAGATAGAAAGAATTTATATAGTTGCTATATACTGGGCTTAGTTAGTATAATACTGGGTAATATTTAAATTTTTCATAAAGCTTTTGTAGAATATAAAAGCAATAAAATAAAATAAATTGCTACTAACATCAGCAAGAAATATGAATTGACAATTTAAAAAAATATATTTATAATGCACCTAAAATTAATTTATGCACAGCCCACAATATTACAGACACTGCTTTTTTACTTATTGCTTCATTACTAACTTCTAGCAATAGCTAAAAATTGTACAAAGGAAAGCTGGGGTGGAAGGTTATCATAATCATTTGCTTTTAATAGGTAAGTGGTGCATGCAAGAAGTATAATTGCATGAAAACAAATTAGTTTTGGTCAATATTTTGTTAATTAATGCCTTTTTCAATTACAGATGAGTCCTACAAGCAAAGTTACGAGATGGTTTGAAATGTTACAACCATTGTCCAGACCTGAGAGTGGCTTTGTCGACTCACCAGATGTTGATGATACCGATAACCTCTTCTTAATCAATAGACTTCCGAGCAGAAAAAGAAGAAAACTACTTGGGCTGAAAATTGGGAAAGTTACAACATTCTAATCAAACAAAAAAATAATAAACATTTTTTGAATATTTTTCATTAGCTATTAGCCATTTCAAATGAATACAACTGAAGTATTTTTTGGCTCATACTTTTCAATTGGACAAAGTTTTGTCAGAAAATTATTCAAATATTATATTTTAAAAATTTATTTAGTCAATTGTAGCTTTTGGTTTTAGATAATTCTTAGATAAAACTTTATGCTTTTAAGATGATAGAAATCCTAACTTGAAATGGATTTATTTGATAAAATAATTATGTTGTTGTCATTTCAAAAAACTCTTGTTATTACACAATCAACTAATTCAAAGTTGATGTTCTCTATACATGTAGCAAAATTTTAGATTTTATGCAAATAAGAAATACTATTTATAAATTTTCATACAAGTTTTTTATATAAACCTTTTTTTAAAAAAATGTAAATATGTTATAGACTAGCCTAATAATTTAAAGATGATGAACTCATTTTGTAATTTAATTGTTTATTTTATAAGAGTAATGTATTTTTTAAATCTTATTCTTGAAATCATTGTCACTCAATTGCCGATGCCATAAACATTCCAATTGTTTATTTTATAATATTGACAATTTATTTATTGAATTCTTTTTACATTGGACTTTTCTTAAATATTTTTTAATTATTTTTCCATATAAATAATTAATTTAAGTATTAATTTATTTCAACACAGACTGTATTTTAAATAGAAATATTCTGTTACCAAACAGATGAATTACTTATTTGCTCAAGCAATCCTAATACTATCCCTCTCACTTTGAGAAAAATGTTTTAATGTTCACAAACAGTACTGTTTTACATTAAAACATAGTAAAGTGAAAATGAGGGAATTTTGATATTTGGAAAAGATCACGATTTATTTTCCATTGGAAAATATAACTTCGTAGATATAACATCTGACAGTGTAATTTGAATAGGAAATTCCCAAAAAGATATAGAATTATTGTAAATAATGCTAAGTTTTTATACTGTTAAATAAATATAAAAGATTTTGTAGTTTAATATTATATAATATTTAAAAAGACTTTTTACCTATTGTTAGGTTATCTTGTATTTAAATAAATTCATATTATTATGACATCTTATATTAATTTTATTATTTACCATTTTATTCTTTCAAAACAAATGTTTATACAGTAGCTATTTCGTATTCACAAAGACTTTAAATCTCTGAAGAAAATCTTAAATAATAGAATAATACTTTTAATCAATAAAATTTATAATTATTGTTATTATTATATTGAGAGTTGGATTGACTTTTGCCATTTTGGATCTCATGAATGTTTTTTGACCATCTTCCCAATCAGTTGAGATGTCAGAGAGAAATTACTTCTATTAGTAACTAATTTATAAACTTTGTGATTTGCTTGAGTAACAACCTGTGGTTTAAGTATGTTTTGAATAAAGCACAGTTAATCTGTGAATGTTGATGTGAAAGTTTATGGATTTTAAGAAACAACAAAACTATATTCAATCTTTTCATCATCTTTTAGTCATGGATGGTAAGAAGAGTCCTCTACTAATTACATCTTCTTCTTGTTTCTCTTCCTCCTTTAGCCTATCAGTGTGAATAAGGTGCATCCAGCCATATAGAGCACATATCGGTCTCTTGGTAATACTTTTATATCAGCTAGCGTTTTTCTCTTTATCCTGTCCTACCCATAGAATATGCTCCAAATAGGTTTTTCTAGACCAGTTTTGTGCTCTCCTGCCTATCTGCCCTGCTTCTAAATACTTTCTTGGCGCTCTGTCTTTGACAGTTTTTTACAAAAATTTTAAAATATAATTTTTCTAAAAAACTTACTGAACTGAGTTCAATTAAAAATCAAAAGTGCTTTTAAAATAAAACCAGTCTGATAATACTATTATGATTCCATGATGCAGCCTATTATTGGTCCAGGATTTCTCACTAAGTGAAATATTTTGATCTTGTACCACTATTCTCTTCTCTCTGACTTTTGTAAGGTTATAGCTTCTTGGATCACACATTCCATTTGAACATGAGCCAATCCTACCTCTTTCTTTGCGAAGGTTTCCATCTGGGAGATATTTTGAGATGTTATTCTAAAACTAAAAATAATATTGAAAAGAAGTTGGTTGGGGTGTTCAGTCAAATAAAGAACAAAGTAAAAATAAATAAATTATATTCATTTTTAAATATTTACTATATAAATATTTTTTCATTTTTACTTTATTCTTTATTTGACTGAACATCCCCATCAACTTATCTACAACTGTCAATTATTGATCCACTATCACTAAAAATTACATTATTGTGTCATTATTTCTACTTCATTGAAGTAGGTCTTCATCAGAGAGATGTTTTGAGATATCTTTAATCTACACTTAGGCAACATGTTGATTATTGTAAGGACACCCAAGCTGAATGAATTTCATGACATTTGCTTCATGAAATATCTGGCTCAAGACTTTTCATACTTCTTCAGTTGTTACCAACCTTCATTTGACCAAATATTCTTTGGAAAATTTTATTTCAAAGATAAGGATTTCATTCTCATTAGATTTGGCTAGGGTTCATTTTTTAAAAGTATACATGAGGATAGGTGGGTTAGGTACAGAATAATTCTTGTTCTCCTTATGATGAACTGGTCCAAATTAACTCATCTATGTCACTGTGGATTCTTCCATTTATCTCAAGAGTAGTGTTAGTTTTGGAGCTTTCCATAGAGCCTTGATACTGCAACATTTGTGACTATCCACTTTTTAAGGCAGGTTGGGTTCATGAAAACGTGATTTAAGTAATTTGTATTGAAAACAGAATGCATTTAATGTGGATTTTACTATTGAAGGAAGTTTGGCGAGATCGACAAAGTTAGTCATTTTAAATAAGATATTTATAATGTACATTGTAATATATATGTTGGTAAACCATGAAATATTACAATAATTAATCATGTGCCACATCAGCATCAACTAGCTGGTTGTAGAAATGTGGTGTAATCCTCAGCTACTGTCTTCTCTGTGTCTCTGGTCCCACCAGTGTCTTCTTGATATACCTTCTAAACAGCATCCTTTGTCTACCAAGAGTCCTTTTTTCTTTTTTGCTAATCACTTTCAAGCGCCTCTTATTAACACCTTCAGTTGATTTCTTCACTCAAAACACTTCTCCAGAGAACTCTTTTTTCAGACTTCTGCAATCGACTCCTTCTACAAAGAACATTCCTAACAGACTCCCTTTTTTTTCCAAAAATATTTGGATAAACATTTCCTGCCCATTTCTTTCCTGCCTTTTCTATTGGTTGAATTTTGATGCAGGATGGAACTACTGAGGAATTTTGAAAAGCTCTCCAGCTATATATACATATATAATTAAAAGTTTTATAAATAATGTTTTTGATTAATGTTGTTTTGTGTTTTATAGAAAATATTTTTGAAAATGGCTTTTTAATAATTCTTGGTAAAACAAAGCTTTAATTATATAATAAAAATGTGTGAGATTAAAAGGTTTTTGTTCATATAAACCTAATCATATACTGATTAAATATTTTTTATTTTTTTTATTTACGACCTAGAAAAGATCTATATTATTATTGTATAATCCTGAAAAATTCCATTCCTCTTATGAATGAAAAAAAAAATCATTTATATGGAAAAAAAGTAGAACATGCTATATGACATACATTTATTAGTAAAAACAAGCTATGTACTAATTCGAAAAATCTCAGGCTTTTTGTTATTTTTCAAACAAAGTACATTATAAAGTTGTTAAAACACAAATTACTTTTGATTGAACAACTCATGCAGATTCCTCTTGTTGTAAGTTAGGAGATCAGATAATTCACTGTCTTGTATAATAATTTATATTCTTTTTTGTGTTAATAAAGCGTTTTTTGTTATTCAATAATCAGGTCATGGTACATACTATCTGTGATAATAATAAGTCTTAGTTACAAATCAGTCTGTGGTCCATGGAAATTCGCAATATTTTTTTTTTTTAAAGGTTCCGTAAATAGAAATGATGACCAATAATCATACCGTCAAACCCATTAAAAATGAGTTTTCCTCAATTGTCTTTTAGAATATATAAATCATGGGACAAAAGGTTTCTTTGGCTATGACGATCCTAAACTCACCAAAACTTACACTTGCAGTTCAATTGAGAAAAAACAAAACTATCATTTTCAGCATTGTCACTACATTAGTGCGTTAATAAAAGGAAAAACGTATATTCTCCGTGAGTTCTAGAAAGTACCCAAATAAATTAAGAAATTTAACAACTACCTTTAAAAACAATAAATTTATTTTAATTGTTTGGCAATAATTACTTCCAGTTGTTAACAATTGAGTATATTTTACTATCAACGTTACATATTAACAAGTTAGTTGACGTTTCGGGACCTTTATTCCCATCTTCAGAACTGCAATTCCAATACTCTTGTGGATGCAAGGCTTAAATTTAATAATAATAATAATGTTCTCCATCTTCAATTTTCTAATTTATGTTCTAAAATGTATCATCTAAAGCAACATCCTCCTTTTGACCAATAATTGGGTTTCTGCCATCTAATTGACAACTTCCCAGAAAAAAAGAAAAAAGAATAAATTTTTTTGCATAATTCCATAAAGTACAGCCAATATTAGTAATATCATTGAATAGTAGAAGTAAATATTTTGTAACAATAAACTAAAGGCCATTTTAATTAGATGAGTTGGTTAGAATTCACAAAATACTTTTTAAAAAAATATTTTATTAAAAAAAATGATGCACATCTAGATAAAACTATATGTGAGTTTTTAGTGCCTATGAATATTGAAACTTGGTGAAGTGTTTGAGTGCCTTCCACACCCAAATGAAACTTTAAACTCTTCTCACAATAAATTAATTTACCTTCTGTGTGTTTACACAACATAGGATTCCAGGATCTTCTTGAATAAGCATGTCAATATTAGATGGATGGAACAAAAAGAGTTGTAGGTGTCATGGAAGGTACCGGACTACTTCAACAAATTTATATTCATCAATATTCATAGACACTAATTAACAACCCACTTATATTTTTATGTTTATATACATCATTTTCCATTCCTTAAGACGGATGAAGTTATTTGCCTTATCTTTTTTTTTTATTAACTTTTTTTTCAACTCACACTGTTTTTTTTGGGTACTCCCCTTCCTCGCCGTTAAGGCTATACGGGATTTTCCCGGGCCAGGGAATATGGGCGGAGATTTAAAAAAAGACTCCCTCGGAACCGGGACGTGAACACGTGACTATCATTTGAATGATATATCAGGTTGCCGGGAAACATCGTTGCTGTACATATGCGTTAGCCCATTCCGCCACTCCGCTCTTTCAACTCACACCTGTCAGAAGTTCCGACAATCAGCGAGTGTGATGTCAAGATGCAGAAGGTTAATATGTCTTGGAATAGGCGTGGAGAAAGGAGTGCCCAGCGGCATCCTTCCTGTCTTGAATGTAATATTTATAGTTAGTGGAGGAGATCCCTCATCCAGATTCTTTCAAGCCTTCTTCGGGTGCTATCGGGCATGTTAGTTGTGGCCATGCCTCGATCATGCAAAACAATGAGTTAGTATGTCCGTGTAAGTTTTTAGAAGCTATTTTTATGAAATATCTTGTAGTGTGTTTGTATGTGGTCGTTAACTGTTGGCATCTGTAAGTCTAAGTAAGTAATGTTACAGACGTATCAGGGAGCCTTGGCGATAGCCCTGAAAGTTTTAGATTGAAAAGTCTGTAGTTTACGTATGCGAGTCTTTATGGCTGTCCCGTATATCTGTGAAGCATAGGTCCAAATGGGCTTAAGTAGGTAAGTATACGCATTCAATTTTTGTCTAAGTTTTAATTTCGAATGTCTTTTAAGGAGTGAGTACAATAGTCGTAGTCTTAGATTTAGAATTTTTGTTTTGTTTCTGATATGTGGGCCTCAATTCATTCTTCTGTCAAAGGTCAGTCCAAGATATTGAACTTTGTCTGCCTGAGGAATTTTTCATTTAATTAAATTATTTTTCAAAATGTCAACACCAAGACTTTACATACCGACCTAAGACAACCAACCATTGACCAACACATATGTACTCTCTACTCCCGATTTCAGTTTAAACTACACG